TCACTGCAAGCTCTGCCTCCCGGGTTTACGCCATTCTCCTGCCTCAGCCTCCCGAGTAGCTGGGACTACAGGCACCCGCCACCTCGCCCCGCTAGTTTTTTGTATTTTTTAGTAGAGACGGGGTTTCACCATGTTAGCCAGCATGGTCTTGATCTCCTGACCTCGTGTTTCGCCCGTCTCGGCCTCCCAAAGTGCTGGGATTACAGGCTTGAGCCACCGCACCCAGCGGCTGGAGTCTTTTAAGGAGCCTTCAAAGTCACCGGGAGAGGCAAGGGCAGGGTTCCCTACTGGATGCAGCTGGCGAAGGAGGGGTAATGCTATCAAGGCTGTGATTTGGGTCCCTGGGAGGCCAGATAAAGAGAAAACTCTCTGCATCCCCTGGCTTCTCCCTTGCCATTTGGGTGAGGGAAGGACTTGTCCAGGTTACTTCGGAGGGGTGAGTGGCTTATCTCCAAGCCATTGTATTCTATGGCTGGTCCCTCCTGGTCCCTCTTCTAGGAGAGACCCATAAAAAGTGGTCTGGGGTAGGAGTGAGAACTGAGGCAGGGGCAGAGGAAACCCACAGTGAGACCTCAAGGCTAAGAGCTCGAACTCTGTGTTCAAACAGACCTTGGTTCAAACCCAGACCTCTCACTCTCAGCTCCACGACTCTCTCCAAGCCTCAGTTCCCTCCTCCATAAAATGGGGATAACAAGAGCACTTATACATTGATTCAACATACCATGTGCCAGGCTCTGTTCCAGACCCCCTGGATACACAGGGGACAGAACAGCCAGAGAGTGCTCATCCTCCTGCACAGGGCAGCCCCTGCTTCTTTCCTGCCCGTGGCTCTTTCCATCCACTCTCCCAGGGCCTTCAACATCATGGCAGACAAAAGGACACAGTGCCACCCACTGCCAGTCCCTCCCAGAGTGACTGAAGGTGGTCACACTGTGCCCACACAGCCTCTCTCCCACTCACCAAGGGCTGGTTCCCAGCTGCCATCTTGCTGGGGCTCCATGTCATGTACATTGGCTCCTGAGTTAATGGATCACATGAGAACTCACGCAGGAAGCAATGCATGCAATGTTGATCAAATGAGTGGTCATTTTCTGTTGTTAGTTGTCACTTCTTGTGGCTATCAAGGTGTTCTGTTCTGTTGCTTATAAGATAAGCCCTTCTGCACACAGTTGTTCTGGGTGAGTGCCTGTCTCTCTTTGCAGTAAAATATATGGTCTTTGTGACAGCTACTTGCCACTCAGAGGTCATCTGGTTCATTAAACTGAGTAGTACTGGATTGCAAGTGAACAGCTCTTAAATCCAGCCCCCATGCCTACTGCGCCCCCTGCCCTGCTGCTCCCCTGCCTGACCTGTGCCAGAAGGGTTCACGCACCCTCCAGCAACCTGGTCCCACTAATCTCTCTGCTCTCTGGCTCTGTCCTGCCCAGGCTGGGCCCCAGATGTCGCTCCCTCTTCATTCCTACTAATTCCAGCCCCTTCGCTCTACACAGCCTGGTAGCAGTTCTGGCTGCTGCTGGGACCATGTCTGGGCCGTTCTCCTCCTGGCTCTGCACATGGGACCTTTCTGCCTTGACTTCTTCTCCCCCAGGAGAGCTGTTCTCTCCCCATGGACCGAACATCAGGAGTGGGCAGTGAGTGCCCCCAGCAAGCACTGGGGGGCAACAAGAGCATCTTTTAAAACAATAACTGTTATTGTACATATTTCAGGTATACAACATGATGCTATGGGATGCATATAGACAGTGAGAAGGTTACCATGATGAAGCAATTAGCATATCCATCATCTCACAGTTACCTAGACTTTTTGTTCTTGTGGCAAGAGTATCTAAAATCTACTCATTTAGCATGAACTCCACATACAGTACAATTTTATTACTACAGTCGTCGTGTTATACAGTAGATTCTAGCCTTGTTCATCCTACATACCTGCTACTTTGTATCCTCTGATCTTTAAAAAATCCTTTCAACCCTTTGTGGGATACATACCTGGAAGTAGCCGGGTGTGGTGGCGGGCACCTGTAATCCCAGCTACTCCGGAGGCCGAGGCAGGAGAATCGCTTACAGCACCTTGTGATTTGCCTTCATGGACCTCATGAAAATTCTAATTCTGTAGTGATTTTTGATTATCTGTTTAGCGTCTGTCTCCCCATATGAGTCTAAGCCCTAAGAAGGCAGGGACTAGGTCTCACTGCTGAATCCCCAGCACCCAGTTTAGGGCCTGACCTTCTGGTGAGAAGGAAGGAAGCTAGGGAGGGAGGAAGTGAGGGAGGGAGGGAGCAAGGGAAGGAGGGACAGAAGAAGGAAAAAAGGAAGGGAGGGAGGGAGGGCGGGGAGGCTGAGACAGGAGGATTGCTTGAGCCCAGGAGTTCAAGGCTATAGTGAGCCATGATCAGGTCATTGCATGCCAGCCTGGGCAACACAGCGAGACCTCATCCCTTAAAACAAAAAAAAAAAAAAAAAAAGAAAAGAGGAAAAAAAAAGAAGTTAGGAATTGGGGCTGGTCTGGACCAAGGGAGGTGGCATGAATGACCTCAAAGGTCCCCTTGAAGTCAGGGGCCCCACAGTTCTGTAAATACCAGGAATTCAGAGTTGCACCCTTTGGAGCCCATGGAGAGGCTCAGTGCTGAGCGGCCACTGCCTTCTCTCTTGCAGCCTGCCTACAGCATAGGAGCTGTGACGCCTGCATGTCCTCGGACCTGTCCTTCAACTGCAGCTGGTGCCATGTCCTCCAGAGGTTTGTGCCCAGGGTTACCCACTGACTCCTACTGGCCGAACGTGGACAAGGGGAAGAGGGTGGCAAGGCCCTACTCCCGGCCTCAATGCCCACAGTCGGCCAACATTAGAGTATCTCTGGCCAGTGCCACTCTGATTCTTAGGACAAGAATATGGCCTGGGGGCTTCTGGAAGACCATTTAGGGATTCCAGCTGCTCAGGCTCCCTCCTCACACCCAGGAGAGGAGGGTTCATCCTGGAACAGGGCTTCTCAGAGTGGTCCAGAGCTGTAGGCATCAGACCTCGGGCTCCAGTTAAACATGCAGATTTCTGGGACCCATCCCAGACCCTCTGTATCAGGATCTCTGGGAGAGAACCCAGGAAGCTGCATTTTAACATCATGCCTCATCTGCAAACAAGTGTCAGAACTGCCAGTTCACAGACAAAGACTGGTCCAAAGACCCATGACCCCAAAACACCACCTCAAGATCTTTCTTGGGCTGCAAGGGATTTTTCTGAAGACCAGGGGTGTGGACTACAGGCATCCATGGAAAGTTGGGGGAGCTAAAAAGCTGTGTTTGCTTGCTTTTAGAAGCTCAGAAAGTTCTGGGTGAGATTCAGTTTCAGTGATAAAGTTCTTAAATCCATCTCCTCTTCCACTCCTTGTTCTGAAATCATTTCCTCACAGATTAGACTCAGAATTCAAGCTCTGTTCCCTGTCCAAGATAAATAAATGACAGGAGGAGGGGGAAGAAAAAGATTTCCTTGGGGACTAGAGTTCTCATGAGAGTGGGAAGCCCTATGAACTCCCAGAGCTTTTAAGGCAATCTCGAAAATTGCTAAATTATAGTCTCTGAGTTCCCGTGCAGCTGTTGTGCTGCTCCTTTCCAATGCTCCTTTCCAGTGCTTGCTTGCTTTTTTTTTTTTTTGAAACAGAGTTTTGCTCTTGTTGCCCAGGCTGGAGTGCAATGGTGTGATCTCAGCTCACTGCAACCTTCACCTCCCGGGTTCAAGTGATTCTCCTGCCTCAGCCTCCTGAGTAGCTGGGATTACAGGCACACACCGCTACACCCAGCTAAATTTTTTGTATTTTTTTTAGTAGAGACGGGGTTTCGCCATGTTGGCCAGGTCAGGTCAAACACCTGACCTCAGGTAATCCACCTGTCTCGGCTTTCCAAAGTGTTGGGATTACAGGCGTGAACCGCTGCCCCTGGCCCCAGTGATTTCCTTTGCCTCCGCGCCATGGCCCACTCTGGAGTCTAAGGGTAACATTAATTCCAGGATTCCTTTGCTCCTTTCCAATATCCTGCTGCAAGTGTAGAAGTTCTCGCCTTTATAGGCAGCCTGCCTAGCACACAGGACACGGCTCTGGGCCCTGAGGGGATGGGGTGTGTCCATCAGGTCTCCCAGGTGTTCTTCCCACCAGCTGTGCTTTCATTCACTCTCTTGGGGGCCTCAGATTGTTTACCCTGTAAAATGGGCTGGGGTCATGTGATTCAGGAAGATGTGGGAACAAACACACTGTTATTTAAACTGCTCAAACAGTTTTTGTTTTGTTTTGTTTTGAGACAGGGTCTTGCTCTGTCATCCAGGCTGGGGTGCAGTGGTGCAATCACAGCTCACTGTGGCCTCAACCTCCTGGCTCAAGCAATCCTCCTGCCTCAGTCTCCCCTGTAGTTGAAACCACAGGTGCACACCACCACACCCAGCCATTTTTCTAATATTTTGTAGAGATGGGGTCTCACTTTGTTAGCCAAGCTGGTCTTGAACTCCTGGGTTCATGTGATCTGTCCTCCTCGGCCTCCCAAAATGCTGGGATTACAGGTGTGAGTCACCGCACCCAGGCTATCAAGAAGCATTTTTACAAAGCATTCAGCGTCCTTCGCATGATACTCACAGAGCCTCAGAAAGAATACCTAGGATAGACCCCAGGTTGGTTCTTCCTGGAGCAGAGCATTGCAGAGTAGTCTGCAGACTGTGAGGCTCTCCTTATACCTGGAGGGCTTGTAAAATGCAGATTCCTGGGCCCCATCCCACTGAATATGATCCTCTGGGACCAGGATCCCAGGAATCTGATTTTTGAAGTTGTCCCTCTTGTACCTTTCAAATTTGAGAACCATGGTCTCAGCGATGGAGAGATGGCCTCAGATGAGCCCTGGGATCCTGGGGCTGCCTGCCACCACATGACTCAGCTTTCACAAGCGCTGAGCCATGAGAACTGCAAAATGGGTCAGATGACAGCCAGACCCTCCCATCGATGCAACCCCCATTTAAAGCATACGCCCAAATTCAGAGACCATGAGTTTAATGAGGGTTGGGCCCTCCTCAACATTAGGAGGTTGGTCAGGCTGGGGGAAGGGCAAGGCCTCTGTTTGTGTGCATCTGCAGGGGTTGTGTCAGCAGAGAGGAGCACAGAGAAACTCCACCCGGGGGAGCACGGCTGGTGCGAGTTGGAAACCATCCCATCCCCAGGCGCCCCATGGGCCTGGGCTCACTCCTGCACACTGTCCTTTCTTACAAGCTCTCTGAAGCCTCAGCTGCAACTGAGAGCTGAACCCAGGTCCCCAAAAACCCAGAGGGCAGGGCCAGCTGACATGGTCTGTCTGGCAACAGCTGCAGTCAGTCCCCGCATGGTTCTCTGCTCCCCTCCCTCCACCCAGTCTGCCTTTCACAGCCTCCCAGAGCTTTCCTCCTTGCTCTTGGCTGGAATGGATTTAAACAATTTCATCTCTCATGGCAGGTGCCCCCGCCCCCCCGCCATGGCCCAGTCTGGAGTCTAAGGGTAACGTTAATTCCCGGATTAGCTCCAGAAACGGGGGTCATAAACCCATACCAAAGGCTCAACCTTTTAAAGAATCAGTTAGCATGGTCTAAAAGAACTTTCTTTTTGTTTGTTTGTTTGTTTTTGTTTTTAAGAGACAGGGTCTTGCTCTGTCACCCAGGCTGGAGTGCAGTGGTGCCATCATAGCTCACTATAGCCTTAAATTCCTGGGCTCCAGCAATCCTCCTGCCTCAGCCTCTCAAAATGCTGGGATTACAGGCATGAGCCACCACACCCAGCCCTAAAAGAAACTTTAGTTCTCAGCCTCCAATAGCTTTCCTAATCCTCCATCCCCCAAAGTAGTGGGCATAGAGGGCCTGACAGAAGGAGAGTGTGGCTGGCTCAGTTCAGCCATCCCTGCTGCAGGAGGAGCAGCTCAGAGCCCAGAGGCATCTGTAGAAGGAAAGACTGACAGCTCTTGGCAAGCCTTGGCCCTTGGCCTCACCGAACTTCAGTGGGTGCTGGTGCAGTTAACCTGCTGAGAGTTCCTTCTCGGCACTGGTGGTTCATGATGTTATTCTTCCTATACAGATGTCCCTGGGCTTCAGTAGGACTTGGAGGGTTCCCCTAGCACCAAAGAGTAAAGAACGAAAAGTTGGGAATGATCCATGGAGAGCATTCTCTGGTGCATCATCATGCCCCCATCCTTTCCCTACAGGGGTGCTTGGTGTCTTCCACCCAGCTGAGCTGCCCAGTGCCCTCTCTGGAGACCCTTGTCAGCCAGTTGTAAATCTCTCCCAGCCTCCGGCAAGATCATTTCTGCCCTTGAATGATCACCAGGGAGGTGTTGACTAAATCTGCTGATGCCTACCTTTAGCCCCACTCTCCTTCCCAAGTTTAGGCCCCTTAACAACCAGGATGAAAACACGTATGTGAATTGCCTGGATTCTCAGCAGTGTCATGGCAGCTCACAGTCAAGACGACCTTGAGGATCACTGGAGCTCATGCAGTCCTGCTAGCCCCTACACCTACTCATGTGGGCAGATGAGGCCTTGGTCCTGGGGAGCTGGGTCAGAAGGCAGGCAGGGATGCCACAAATACCTTCATCTTCCAGGGAAGTAGAGGGAACAGGAGTGTCTGACTACCTCAGCCTGGGGACCTTAGCTCCTCTTCTCACTATCAGCAGAGAGCTGTTACTGAACAGTGAAAGGGGAGGGCTTCTTTGTTGATCCCATCATACCTCTGACCTTTTGGTCCTCCTGCAGATGCTCCAGTGGCTTTGACCGCTATCGCCAGGAATGGATGGACTATGGCTGTGCACAGGAGGTGAGAAGCATAAGTATCGGCTGCAACTCCTGTGGGAATAGGAGGGAAGCCGGTAGAGCCCGCTCCTGCAAACTCCTCTCAAGGTGGCGTTAGCTCTTGGCAATATCCTCCCCTCTATCTGAGATTTCTTTTCCAGACTGCCCTGAGACAATCAGACCCACTTTGGAAGGTTTCAGAGGGCTCTGTGGGTCTCTGAGGCAAGCATTCTGATGCCTTGGCCTTAAGTGGGCAGCTCTCAAGGAATTCTTTTGGTGCCTGCAGAGGGGATGTTAGCCATGGCCTCAGCCACTGCTGGATCCTCTGGGAGACTGTGCACCTGCTGATGTTAATGACACACCTGCTGAGCCTCTGGTCCTCTGGCTTTTGAGGAAGGCAGTCATTCTGGGAGTAAGGAGGGTGGTTCCGGGCATCTTCTTTTTAGAATCTCATCCAGGTTCCTTCTGGCTGCAAGAATTTTCCAGTACACTCAACACTAATTCTGGATGGAAAGCATCCTATTCTCACACCATAGACTAACACAGATGGGTCTATTCATCTGTGCCCTCTTTTTTTTTTTTTTTTTTTTGCCCCCTCCCTTTATCTCTTCTTGCAAAGCAAGCATGCTGCATGTGCCAAGCATGTGACTGTGAGTTGCCCTACCCTCGCTTTCATTTAGGCTGACCCAGAAGCTGGGGCCATTGCCCCCATTGATCAGAGGGGAAAATGGGGGCTCAGAGAAGTTTAATGAATTGGCCTGCATCTCGCAACTAGAAGGTGATGGGCCCAGCATTTAAATATCAACTCTCCAGACCCCATGGCCATGCACTCACCATGGTCTATGTATTAGTCTGAGTCTGGGCTTAAAAAAAAATCCTGTCCAGCCGCCTACTTCTGAAGTTAGCTGTTGGTGACTGTTCAGATTTGCTCTATTTAGTTAAGATTGGCATCTCAGCTCCTTCCTTGAGGAAGGATTTTAAGCAGCTGACAGATAAATTGCCCTGTAAGATAAGATGCTTTCAGGATGAAGGGAAAGGTGTAAATGCATTCAGGACACAGCACTGGCTCTCTCCTGCAGGCAGAGGGCAGGACGTGCGAGGACTTCCAGGATGAGTACCACAACTCAGCCTCCCCTGACACTCCCTTCAGCCCCTATGATGGAGACCTCACCACTACCTCCTCCTCCCTCTTCATCGACAGCCTTACCACAGAAGGTAAGTCCTGAGCCCAGGTGGGGAGCAGAGAGGAGGCCAGGAAGGAGAGCTACCCCTCTGGGGCCCCCTCTCTCTCCCTCTCAGCGATGATCTTATGGGATGGGAACTGCCCCATCCTTTTATAGCTAAGGGGGCCTGAAGTTCAGACAGTTTAGGTCACTTGCTGGTGAGAAGCAGAGCCAGATTCAGAACTTGAACTCTACTCCTGGGCTCTAACCACTGTGCTGGCCCACATCAGGGCTACAGACAGAATTCACTGTGAAGAAGGGAAAAATTAATATCCCAGCCCAGTGCCAGGTATTTTATATAACTTATCTCCGCTAATCTTAATAGCAGTCCTCACAGAACCTGAAAAGGCTCATCCCTGTAGCAGATATGAACTCAATCCATACACTCAGGTGTGAGAGAAAGGCTGCCTTGTTTTTCTGTAAGTTCCCCCAGCTTCTCACTTTCAGGCCCTGGAGTGATGGATGGGGAATTCCACCTCAGCTGTCCATCCACCTGACTATTCAGGTCTGGCTGTCCAGGGACTTCCCTGCTCCTGGAGTGATGGATGGGGAATTCCACCTCAGCTGTCCATCCACCCTGACTATTCAGGTCTGGCTGTCCAGGGGCTTCCCTGCTACCTGGAGGCCTGGGGGTCTTGGTTGAAGCTGCCAGATGTCCATCCCCCTGAAGGTACCAGGCAGTGTCCCAGGAAGCCTTGTGCAGGCTCCTCCGGTCCTAGGCCTCAAATCTCTTCCCTTTCTCCCATGCCCCCTCCAGGATTCTGTAGCTATGTCTGAGACATTCCTCTCCTTTATCCTTTTTCAATACCCTGCATCTTAGCCAGGCACAGTGGCTCACACCTGTAATCCCAGCACTTTGGGAGGCTGAGGTGGGCGAATCACTGGGTTCGAGACCAGCCTGGCCAACACGGTAAAACCCCCATCTCTACTAAAAATACAAAAATTGGCTGGGTGCAGTGGTTCACGCTTGTAATCCCAGCACTTTGGGAGGCCGAGGTGGGTGGATCATGAGGTCAGGAGTTTGAGACTAGCCTGGCCAACACAGTGAAACCCCATCTCTACTAAAAATACAAAAATTAACTGAGCGTGGTGGTAGGTGCCTATAATCCCAGCTACTTGGGAGGCTGAGGCAGGAGAATCGCTTGAACCTGGGAGGCGGAGGTTGCAGTGAGCCGAGATTATGCCACTGCACTCCAGCCTGGGCGACAAAGCTAGACTCCATCTCAATTAAAAAAAAAAAAAAAACAAAAACAAAAATTAGTCAGGCATGGTGGTGGGCGCCTGTAGTCCCAGCTACTCAGGAGGGTGAGACAGGAGAATTGCTTGCACCTGGGAGGTAGAGATTGCAGTGAGCCAAGATCATGCCACTGCCCTCCAGCCTCGGTGGCAGGGTAAGACCCTGTCTCAAAACAAAACAAATCAAAACAAAACCCCGCATCCAGCTTTGAAAGCCCCTTCCCCTTAGGCTAAGACTGAAAGACTTGTGGGTTCTTTATAGCCTCCCCTGAACCAAATATCTGCTTGAAAGGAATAATGGTAAGAAGGAAAGGAAAGAAGAAAAAAGTTAGTATTTTAAAACATTATTCAGCCACTATTTTCTTCCCCCTCTAACCCTATGTTAGGATTTCTTTTTTTTTTTAAGACAGGGTCTCACTGTTGCCCAGGCTGGAGTACAGTGGTGTAATCATGGCTCACTGCAGCTCCCAACTCCTGGGCTCAAGCAATCCTCCCACCTCAGCCTCCCAAGCAGCTGGGACTGCAGGCATGTGCCACCATATCTGGCTAATTAAAAAAATTTTTTTTGTAGAGATGAGGTCTCACTATGTTGCCCAGGCTGATCTCAAACTTCTGGGCTCAGGCGATCCTCCTGCCTCAACCTCTAAAAGTGCCAGGGTTATAGGCGTAAGCCCCCATGCCTGGCCCACAGTCCTTTCTTATAGATAAAGAAAGAGGGTCATAAAAGGGCAAAGTAAGTTACTCAAGGTTATGTGAGGGGTAAGTGGTGAGATGTTCTTTCCACAGTGTCCCCTTTCTTTTTTCTTTAGATCTAGTCTCACTCTGTCACCCAGGCTGGAGTGCAGTGGTATAATCTCAGCTCACTGCAACCTCTGCCTCCCAGGTTCAAGCAATTCTCCCACCTCAGCCTCCGAAGTAGCTGGAACTACAGGCGCACACCACCACACCCGGCTAATTTCTGTATTTTTAGTAGAGATGGGGTTTCGCCATGTTGGCCAGGCTGGTCTCAAACTCCTGACCTCGTGATCCACCCACCTTGGCCTCCCAAAGTGCTGGGATTACAGGCGTGAGCCACCGAGCCTGGTGTGTCCCCTGCCTTTCCTAGAAAACTAGAGAACAAGGGCAGGGACCCATGGACCTGGCTGGGGGGAAGTTGTGGAGGAGAATGAATGAATGATAGAAAGCACCAGCATTTTTGGGGACCAACTCTATGCCCGGTAGGGTGCTAAAGTGGCATGTAAATTAATATTCAGTCCTCCCAACAATCCTGGATCTTGACACTGTTATATCCCTGTTTTATAAAGGAGACACTAAGGCTCAGAGAGGCAGATGACTTTCCCAAGGTCACACAGCCAAGAAGGGATAGAGTCAGGTTTCATCTAGCTCCAAAAGCAGAGATCTTTCCCCTCAACCCCATTGCCTCTCTTGGTGCTGAAAGAAATGGAAAAGGCTCTATGTGAATTCAGGGTCAGGGTAGAGTAGCAAAATGTGGGAAAGTGAGGCAGATTCCGACAGCTCCCATTACTCTGAAGTTGCTCCGGAATAACAAGGAGCTGGCACTGAGAGCAGAGCACGTGGTGCTGCTGCAGGGGATTCAGTGAAAAAGAAGTAGAAGCTGGGAGAGAAGGCTCATGTCTGTAATCCCAACACTTTGGGGGGCTCAGGCAGGCGGATCACTTGAGCTCAGGAGTTCAAGACCAGCCTGGGCAACATGGCAAAACTATGTCTCTACCAAAAATCAAAAATTAGCCGGGCGTGGTGGCACTCATGTGTAATCCCAGCTACTTAGGAAGCTGACGTGGGAGGATCACCTGAGCCTGGGAGGTTGAGGCTGCAGTGAGCTATGATTGTGCCACTGCACTCTAGCCTGGGTGACAAAGTGAAACACTGTCTCAAAAAAAGAAAAAGAAAGAAAGTAAAAAGAAAAGAAAAGAAAAAGAAGCAGAAAGAAACTTTGCTTTTTGGGGAGTTGGTGACTGAGTCCAGGGGTAACCTTCCAGTCAGAGAAAGCTCCTCTTACAAGGAGGTAGTCCCTGTTTAGTTACCACCAGTTAACCCCCTAGGCTTACTGAGGGCATGTTCTGAGCCCAGCACTGGGCCAGGAGGGCTGCAAACACACCCTGCCGCATCCAGAGGGTTTAGCCAGACAGTGCCTGGTGGAGCCACAGTGTCAGAGGCTAGAAGGGGGGCTGTGGTGGCATGGGGAGCCCAGGGCACGCCGCTTGGGGGCCAAGCCTAAATCCTGACTTATTACTGAGCCCCCTGGGCTGTCCTCCAGCCCACCACGTAGGTCCTCTGTCCTACAGAGGTAGTGAGTTCTGTTTGCCAGTTTTATGATCTGTGTGCATCCCCTGCCAGCTCAGGACTGGGTCTCACTTCTATGTTTTGTGTAATGGTTCCCAACAGAAAACATTCATTAGAGTAAAAAGTGAAGACAGTTAGGGCTCTATGTCCTTCCAGTCCTGGAAGAGGTGGCAAAGATTCTGAAGTTACATCTGTAAGAGAAAAAACTTTTTGGAGGGTGGTACAAGATCTTGCTATGTTACCCAGGCTGGACTTGAACTCCTGGGCTCAAGGATCCTCCCGCCTCAACCTACTGAGTAGCTGCAGGTACATGCCATTGTGCCTGGTTTATAAGAAAAAACATTTTTAATGATGACTTCCCCTGACATGCCCAAGTTGCAAGGCATCTTGGCAGGACAGCTTGAGTCACTCACCTGCCTGTGTGGTTACAGCCCACACAGGGAGACTCGCAGAGGCAGGCGTGGGATAGTCTTTCCCGTCCATTCTATGAGGGTACAGGCTCCAACAGGGAGATGTGAACGAAGGGACCCAGCAGGGGCCTGCCTGGGCAGGACAGAGGTAGAAAGCAGCAGGGCAGGAGGAGCGGGAGACATGGGGGCTGGATTTAAGAGCTGTTCACTCGCAATCAAACGCTACTCACTTAAATGAACCAGAAGACCTCTGAGTGGCAAGTAGCTGTCACAAAGCCCATGCATTTTATTCCAAA